CAGTGCTTGAAGTCACTAACTTCTAGTCTGAGCCATGTTGGTTGGGGTCCACGTGACTACCGTAACCAATGGATGGAGACTCTGTGTGACATGGCTCAGAATCGATCACAATGATGCAGGTGTATACAGTCTTTGTCTTCCCTTAAACCTTGAGATTAAAATTGCTTCATATCTGTCTTCTTTCCTATACTACATCCTCATATACAATCTTTCTTTTATATATTGCCACCACCACTAAATTAACTACTTCAATGAATTTGATGTTCATCTTGTTGTGCTAACGAGGTATGGCAACTTGGAGCGGTGTATATATGTGAATGGTCCTACGTTGTACCTGATTGACTGACAGCTTGATCACACCTAATATTCTTGATATGTTCTTTTAGATTACTTTCGATTTTGATTATTTATTGAGTCTCTGAAGAAGTGACTTAAACTAAGTCACAAAACATCGGTAAATCTGATTTTTCTACTCATTAGGATATTATAAATAGTTTATTGTTTTTTATTAATAACAGTCTATTTATTCACAGTTGTAAGCGTGAGTCAAATGAAGCTAAACCACCATGGAAAACCTGGAAGCACTGAACGGCCGTCTCGTCCTATTATGGGACTCCTCAGTAGTGCACATCCTCGATCCCTGCACTCGCGAGATTCGAACTCATGACCTATCCAGGAGCTCTAGTGAGAAGCAGTGACCAGTGGAGTTCAAACCACGTTTGTTGTGAGATAGGAACTCACTGAAGACAATTGGTGAGTGGTTGCTCAATTTCGTGGATTGGTTGAAGTTAGAAATTAACACCGTTAGATTCCGGAAGGCTCAGTGGTCTGTTGGCTAAGTGCTTTGGCTCGAGACTGGTTGGTCCTGTAATCTCGCTCGCGAGGCGGGATCGTGGATGCGCACTGCTGAGGGGTCCCATAATTGGACGAAACGGCCGTGCAGTGTTTCCAAGTTTTCCATGGTGGTCTATCTTCAATAGACTCATGCTTTCAACTATGAAAAATATTAAATCTTCACAAAACCCCTTCTGATAATCTATTTATTGCTCAATTTATTTGAAATTATCATCAGAACAAACTTCAGTTAGAAGTGATGTGTTCAAATTTCTCCACATATGGCTCTCAGTTTTTCCTGTAGACCTCGATGTTGTTTGGTTCTTGTTGACTTTAAACATGCTCCACGATCAAAACCCTCTAGCTCAGAGAACAAAACAAAACAAAGTCTAAGTGTTAAACATCATTTACAATTCACATCCAATGAGATCTCAACTTAAGACATATAATACTTAGGTTGGAAAGCATTGCAAAAGTGTTGCATTATGTAGAAGATCAATTGCGTTACAATACAACACTGGTGTTTGCATCATTTAATATTTAATATAGTTTAGGTCACTATTGAGTAAATTTTGCTTTCCAATCACTTAGGATTTATAACTGTTTCCTTTCTTGTGTCATTAACAATGAATTTGGAGACTCCGTTACTTTATTTGTCACACAATCGATAAGCAGCAAAAGTCCCCACATTCTTAAAGTTTGTATTAGAATATCAACAAAGGTTGAGTAATTCATTTGGTACTGTTTGTTTGAATATTCCCATTAATGTTTAGGACTGACGTTGATCAGTCTGTCATTGGAATATATGCATCCTGTGCGGATTGTCTCGATATTGCCTTATGTCCTGGAGTATAAATCAACTCTGGGATGTAGGTACATCCAGCTGACGAGTCCTAGACAAGATGAGACGCAAGTTTTGAATTCCATTGCTAGTCTTTATCCACTTTTGCTTATAACGCTAGTGACTTAAGGCAATATTGAGGCACATATGTCAATAAGAGACTGATCAAAGCTTCATTAGTGTTAACTTGTGAGCTTGTGTTCTTTTCATCTCTTGGTAAGATTTTTTCTGTATGAATTATTTATATCTTACCATGATAGAATTTCGAAATTTTGTTCTGTCTAGAGTAAAACAACTTACTTAATTACTCTTGTTAACCCTCATGGAGAAGCATAGGCCGCCCACCAGCACTCTAAATCCAACCCTGTCCTGGGAGATTCTTTCCAGTTCTTTCCAGTTTCTATTCATCCTATTCATGTCTGCTTCTATTTCTCAATGCAGTGTGTTCTTTGGCCTTCCTCTCATCCATTTCTCTTCAGGATCTCAAGTTAGCACTTGCCTCGTGATATAGTTTGATGATTCCTGCAATTTGTATCGTATCCACCTCCATCATCTTTCTCTAATTCCCTCTTCAATTAAAAGTTGATTTGTTCTTTCTCACAGTCGGTTTTTACTGATGGTTTCCAAGCAGAGGACATTGAGTATCTTGCATAGACAATTGTACCTTTTCGATGATAGTTGTAGTGGTTCTCCACGTTTCAGCTCCCGAGTATAACAACACTTAAGTAAATATTTATTTTTATTTATTCAATATTAGTATTCTTATTTACTAAGAGGTTCACTTATTTGGAATATTTAAACTATTTATAGTAGTTAAGATTAGCGTATACATTCTAATCTGTTAATTGACCTAGAAACTTCACTTGGAAAACTGTAATGTTCTACATAAGCGCTCAGTATATATTATGTAGACGATTTAACTCTGAGATGCAGGTACATCCAGCTGATGAGTCCCAAATAGGACGAAACGCGCGTCCTGGATTTCACTGCTGTCCACTATCCATCTCTGATTTAACTTCTGTTAAACTGGTGAAAGTTTGAAGATCTGGCTTATTGTGACGCTTGTATGTTCATATAAATGTGTAGTTTATAAGTGTAACTTCCATCAATATTTCTAGTTTATAACTGTAGATTATTAATGAATTTTCATAGTTGAAAGCATGAGTCACTTGAAGCTAGACCACCAAGGAAAACCTGGAAGCACTGGACGGTTGTTTCGTCCTATTTTGGGACTGAACAGCAGTGCGTACCACGACCTCGCCTCTCGAGGTTCGAACCCAGGACCAACCAGTCTCGCTCCAGAGCACTTAACTGAATCATGCTTTCAAGTATGAAAATACTAAATCTCCACACAAAAAATCACTTCTGATTATAAACATATGCTCACTAGTGACTGTCTTTAAGAGGTATTTCTTAGAATTCTAGTGAGAAGCAGTGACCAGTGGAGTTCAAAACACGTCTGTTGTGAGATAGGAACTCACTGAAGACAATTAGTGAACGGTTGCTCAAACTTTGTGGATTGGTTGAAGGTAGACATTAAGTGCTCGTGCGCGAGACTGTTAGGTCCTGGGTTGGAAACTCGCGAGGTGAGATCGTGGATGCGCGCTGCTGAGGAGTTTCACGCTTTTCATGGTGGTCTAACTTCAACTGACTAATGCTTTCAACTATGAAAATACTAAATCTCCACAAAAAGAACCCTTTCTGATTATTAATGAATTGAAAAATGTTTCTTGTTTCTTGGTGTTAGTTGACAGACAGTTGTTTTGAGTTCCAGATGTTCTTCAGCTGTAAATATGCTGCTCTTGCTTTGCCGATCCGCACCATCACATCTGCATCAGATCCACTGTGTTCATAATTTTGTCAATACTTACTGGAGATTATTAATTGACTACATATTACATGTGTAACTATGATACTGTTGTGTTTAGACGGATGATTTTAATAAACAGTGAATTACTCTCTGTACAATCATCTAGATATCAGCATAAATTGTTTGTCTACCTTAAGAGTTATAACTGCGTCACCAGGCAAGCCCTCACATGGAATCCTCAAGGCCAAAGGAAAAAAGGAAGACCAAAGAATACATGACGCCCAGAAATGGAGACAGACATGAGAAGAATGAACAAAAGTTGGATAGAATTAGAAAGGAAAGCTCAAGACAGAGTGGGTTGAAGAATGCTGGTCAATGGCCTAAGCTCCATTGGGAGTAACAGGCTCAAGAAGAAGAAAGCATTTATATATATATATATATATATATATATATATATAATCTAGATGTTCAGCGTTCTTTCATGAGATTGAAGGTCCTGAGTTCGATTTCAGCATAGGAGGTAGTGTTTGCGATTGCCGAGTAGTCCTATACCATTATGAAATGACCGTCTAGTGCTTCTAGGTTCTCAATGATGGTCTAGCTAAGATTATTTTGTAGTTCAAACTGTGAATATTTTATAATTGACACAACTCCTTTTATAAATAAACCAATTGAAAGAATATGTTGTTTTTCTGTTGATGGGTTAAAAGCTAAATCATTTAACTACTGTGACGAATGAGTACTTCATCTAGACAACCAATGTCTAAATCATTATTGAATGGATTACAAATGACGAAAATACCTACCCAGTGAGTAAATCATTAACCATAGTTGCATATTGGCAAACGAATGGCCACGTTACTTATGGCCCCCAAATGCCCTGGTACGGCCGAGAGTGGGGAGAGTCCGCTCTCTCTCGAAATGCTCTCACATGGCCAGCGAATATATAGCCTCTGATAGGGAAGTCCTACTCACTGCCTTCTCGCGACGGGGGGGGTTGTTTATGAAATTGAGAGAACGAAAAGTGAATGTCTGACGCTTAAATCGGGTTGGTGGATATGGAGCGTTCACCTAGGGGAGTTGGAAAACCCTGATTCCAAACCATTGGTACACATGAGCTTCAGTAATCTGAGGGAAAAATGGCGTACGAACCAATCGTTGATCACCGGCTACTATGGGACTGCATCTCCTCACGATGTTCCACTGCCTTATGGATCAGACCTTTAGATCAAAGGCTCCAGGGTTTGGTCCCCTAAGTAAACCACCTGTTTTTGTTTGGGCATTCGGGCAGTATCCCAGCCCTCACACAAATCAAATGAGATTTGTATGGCGTATATTTATCTGGTGCTTTCTTAAACCAATATTTAGGTGTTTAAATAAATAAAATAAAAACGTTACTTATGTCGATTCACAAGTATATACAAGTCATAACCGCTTTATATGATAATCCCATTGAATGATATTTGATGTTGATGACTTCTTTTTATAGTAATATCGGTTTTCATTTATTTTCAGTAATATCATCATCATCTGACGAATAATAAAAACCCCCCTCCCAAATGGATTCTAATGAAGAAGAATATGGTACTACATTTTTACAATCTGATACAAACAAACCAAATGATAATACAGGTTATGAAATGAAAACAATGAATCAAGATAATAAAAAAAGGGAAACAAAACGGCGAAATAAATTATCTAAGGTAACTTTTAATTTTTTTTGGAAATAAAAACATTGGTTTCTTGCTCAATGGTCCAGAGTTAGATGTATACATGAGTAGCACAGGGTTCGATTTTAAGTTGCGGATTAGTGTATGCACACTCCTAAGGAGTCCCATAATGGGATAAAATGCTCATTTATTGGTTTTAGGTCCTCACTTGTTATCGTAATTAAACCATTTCATAAGTTTAATAAAGATATTTGTTAAACAGATGGATTATAATTCATTTGTATTAGCTATTGAATATCAACTTGACAACCATTGAAATCAGGAAGTGTTAAGTATCTGTTATAGTATTTTCAGATAAGATGGTGGTTAGAGGTGGTCAACAGGAAACCCTGGACCTGGGTTTCGTGCTACTTGGCACTCGTCAACAAAGTGTACCTGTAATCTCTAGCGAACTGGTGCTCCCTGACGGATTTGATCCCATATCACGCAGCTTCACAGTCAGAGACGTTACTCGGTCCGCGACCGACTTCCTGTATGACTGAGATGTAATCACAGTTGATTGATCGCCACCTAGTGATCATTCAATTGTTGTAGTATCTATTAATGGTCATACCAGCGACTGAAACTAGGAAGGTCAATAAGTCAAGGCGACAAAATTCCCTAGAAACTACTGAACTACGATCACATCTTTACATAAACATTTAATCATAAGCTCTCACATACTTACAGTGTCCTTGTTAAGTAATTTCCATTAAATCAATATTGTTTCATTTAAAGATCAAAAGCACCGAATCTAGTTTTAACAATGATGATTATGTTCTTCATTTTATTTTTCTTCTATTATACTAAAAGTATGTTAACCAATATGCCATAGAAACTAAACGGAATCTTATTTTGTCTCAGTATATGAATAATCAAAGATTCTATGTATTTTGTTTCCATCCCCCCAATATGCCATTGTAACTAAACAGAATCATATTTTGTCTTAGTACATTATTAATCAAGTATTCTATCTATTTTGTTTCCATCCACTTCTCCCCCCCTAAAAAAAATTGTTAATTATCTTCCGACATCAAAATTAAGGTGTATAGTTTTTTTTTCTATGTTACTAATTTAGTCAGTGAAATACTTTGAAAAGAATATAATGACGACTATATTAGTTGAGTTAATCTCATTAATTAAAATTAAAAAGAAAATGGATACTGTAAGCAAGGATGGATAGTGGCTAGTAGTGGAATCCAGGACGCGCGACACTTCGTCTTATTTGGGACTCGTCAACTGGATGTACCTGCATCTCAGACTTGTTGATGTTCATTCTGGGACTCGAACCAAGTAAATCTCGATTCAAACGCCATCACGTTATCCACTCAAATATTGAGTCCTGATAGTCAATTGCTTGTGCAATGAGGTGAAGTTTAAATTAACTTAGTATTGTTTGTTTGAATCTCTACATTGATGTTTAGGACTGCAATTGGTCAGTCTCTAATGAGCATATGTGCATACTGTGTGTTTTGACTTGATATAGCTTTATTTATCTTTGCTTACCATGCTTGTGAAATAAGGCTATATCGAGGCAATACTCACAGTATGCACAAATGCCAATTAAAGACTGACCAGTTACAGTCCTGACACATCAATGGGAAGATTCAAACAAACAATACTAAGTGAAAATGGTTATTGTTCCAGTTTTTGCTTATTATCAAGGATGTGATATAACTACTTATAGTATTTAAGTAGTTCACCTTATTATTTTAGACTTTCTTAATCCGATAATTTGTGTTGTGATTTTGGTTAGATAAACTGAATAAATGTTCTTAATCTATCTTTATTAATAAAATGTAGGAGTAGAGTTATGATTTTGACTATTTTGAATTACATAATGTGTGTAGAATATGATTGTCAGAATTGATTTGTATTACGTTGTGTAACCGTTTTAATTACTTTCAGAAAACAAAATTACTTAACTACTTACGCCTGTTACTCCTAATGGAGCATATACCGTCAACCAGCATTCTACAACCCACTCTTTCCTGATCCTTCTTTTTTAGCTCTATCCTATTTGTGTTCATTCTTCTCATATCTGTCTCCATTTCTCAGCGTTATGTGTTCTTTGGGCTCCCTCTTCTCCTTTGACTTTCAAGATTCCATGTGAGGGCCTGTCTTGTTACACAATTGGGTGATTTCCTCAAATTATGCCCAATCCACTTCCAGCGCTTCTTCCTGATTTCTTCCTCCGCTGGAATCTGGTTTGTTGTCTCCCACAGTAACTTGTTGTTGATAGTGTTTGGCCATCGGATCCGAAGTATCTTGCGTAGACAGCTGTTAATAAACACTTGTATATTCTGGATAATGGCTTTTGTAGTTCTCCACCTCTCCGCCCCATACAGTAAAACTGTCTTGACATTTGTATTGAAAATTCTAACCTTGGTGTTGGTTGACAATTGTTTTGAGCTCCAGATGTTTTTCAGCTGTAGGTATGCTGCTCTTGCTTTGCCGATCCTCGCCCTCACATCTGCATCTGATCCACCGTGTTCATCAATGATGCTGCCCAGATATGTATTCAGAAAACAAATTCTTACCCATTTTTGTGATACGAGTGACAGCTGAAATAAGTACTGATTGTCCAATCTCTTAGAGTTTTATTTATTTATTTGAACACATAAATATGGGTACAAATGGACACCTGATTACATATGTGAGACATAGAATTCGTAAGAGGACTAGGATACTTTTCGAATCCCCAAACAGAAGCATGTGATTTTTTTATGGGACCACTCCCAGGACCTTAGGCCTTGTAATCTAATCTACAAAGCAATGGAGTAACGACAGGAGATTCATCCTCATGGTAACCAGAGATTAAGAATAGGTTCATATGCTACTTTTTCCCCACAAGATCCTCCACCCCATGTATGCCACATGTTCAGAATACGGTTTTCTCAACTCTCCCAGGATAAATCCATCGTATAGACCAACCTCAATTCAGCTCCGAACATTCGTTTTTCGTCCTCTTAATGCTTTGTATATATATATAACGAGGTATATGGTTACATTGTTTACTTTAATCTGTAAAGATAAGTGTATAATTATAATGAACAACCTACTTTACAAATAAAAAAGTAACAAATATGTTGATAAACAAATAAACACCTGATTATATTCACACATGATAAGGGTACAGGGATTTCATCTATTCGTCGGTAATGTTCAAATGAAAATAAAATAAAAAAAGTCTCAAATATATTTTAAAAATTATAACCTGGTATCCTTGATGCATTTCAATGAATGATAGTCGAAGATAATCATTGGATCGTTTGGGATTAACAAAAGTTAAACGTTTGGTACTGTATAATTGTCAGTAAGAGAAGTAGTTCTTGGAATTCATTTAGTATTGTTTGTTTGAATCTTCCAATCGATGTGTTAGGACTGAAACTGATCAGTCTCTAATTAGCATATGTGCATACTGTGCGTATTACCTCAATAAAGCCTTAATTCACTGGTATGATAAGCAAAGATGAATAGTGGCGAGCAGTGGAATCCAGGACGCGCGTTTCGTCCTATTTTGGACTCGTGGTCGATTGGATAACACGATGACGTTTGAAGCGAACGGTACTGGGTTTGAGTCCCAGAGTGAACATCAACTCTGGGATGCAGGTACATCCAGCTGACGAGTCCCAAATAGGACGAAACGCACGTCAAACTGAATTCCACTACTAGCAACTATCCATTTTTGCTTATAATTCAGAATCATTTATTTTGTAAAATATATATTCAAAGAATGGAAAAACAAAGTGATTGTGTTGATTTGTAAGTGATACTGATAGTAAAGAGATTTAGAATGTTTGTAAAGGTTTTTAAAAAAAATATTTCCCACATATGACAGGATGATCCGTTTCTTGATTCTCAAAGTTTGTATACACTAAGGCAATTGTGGACATGAATTTAACCATAACAAATATTGAAAATTTGAATTATAAAAACTCTGAGATTCTCAGAAAAGTTCTATAAGTATGGTATTTAGATCTTTTTAGCAATTAATAGACACATAAATATCAACTCAATCTATGAAGTCATGCAAAAGAGACCAATCAATTCAAAGGTTAAGGGTCGACTGACAAATAAATTTAACATGAAACCAAAAGTAAATAAAGATGATGAAATCTATCTAGACAGCTAATCATAAACAAAGTCTTAAGGAACCTAATAAAAAATAGATGATGTTTCTGAACTGTTGAATTCTCCTCATTTATTGCCAAATGTCCTCTAAAGATTCTTACATTTAAATTGAGATCATGCGCCGACCAATGTTAGACCACCAATGAAAAACATGGGTGCATTAGATAGTCCTATCGTCCTAGTGTGAGACACCTCGGCAGTCCTCAGCCACAAGCCCATATGTAGGAGGTGAACTTAAAAACCTTCGGTCTCGTGCTTGAACACTTAATTCAGTCAGTCAGCTACAACTTAGGACCAGGAACATATATACATCGGTTAATTTAGTGGTGGTATTATATAAAAAATAGATTGTATATAAGGATATAGTATAGGAAGGAAGAAAGATATGAAGTAATTTTAATCTCAAGGTTTAAGGGAAGATAATAAGTGTATACACCTACGCCACTGTGATCGATTCCGAGCCATGTCACACACAGTCTCCAACCATTGGTTACGATAGTCACGTGGATCTTGACCATGAAGTCTGCATCTACTAACATGGCTCAGACTTGAAGTTAGTGACTTTAAGCACTGATGCCATTTTTTGGTTTGGTCGCTCTTAACTCTCTTCCAACTATCCCCTACTGGTAATCAGTAATCTGTGTTCAGGCATACGTATCACTTGGCCCAACCAACTAAGTCAATGAAGATTCACAACCTCATCAACTGATTTATCATCATTCCTTAATACCCTGAGTCTAACCTCACTATTACTTACCTGGTGAACAACTAATTATTAGACCACTGAATCGTCATCCAACTATGTTATTACCTAAATTCAATCAATCTATGACATTTTACGATGATCTTCCATTGTCTTC